AGACACATTGCTACAACTGTCTTTCTTTTTGATACGTTAACTTCAAACACAACATCCATATTATTATCGTGCAACAAAAGGCTGTGCACTAGCTTTGTCGATTTTATGCCACTTTTTTTGTCTGGTCAATTGAACTTTAACCGTAGAATATGGCTACTGCAATGATTATTATTAAAGGGCACTGTTACAAACTCTAGCCATTTGATACATGCACAAAAGCACATGAGTACAGTCACTGGTCTCCAGAAATTACTTCATATACAGCGTCCCTCCTCTGCAGCTATATAGGAGAATGGGTTATGGAGAAGAAGGAAAAAAAACTTCAACATCTCCTATAGTTTATATTATACCAGCTGGAAGAAAAGGTGATTCTCTGCAAGGGAAATTCACCAGTTCGTATCCTTCTCCTTCCCCAGCTGCCTCATTGGTAGAGGTTGTAATATGAACCCCTCCTCTATCTCTCACTGTTCCATATGCCTCATTGGTTGAGGTTGGGATGCTGCTGACTGCAATTCCTCTTTTCCCTCTCACCTCCCCATATGCCTCATTGGTTGAAGTGTGGATACTAGTGCCTCGATCTTTACCACCTGTTAAAAGGTAATGAAAACATTTTTAGAATTGTTCTTGTGTTTTGAACAATAATAACCTTTGAGACACAGCAGACCAAAAACACTGAGAGATACTATTAGAGCTGCTACAATAACTGCAATTGTTATAGCCATAGTAGACAACCAGCCATCATCAGCAGACCTGTCGGGGGTGCATAATTCGTTGCACTTGTAATTATTACAGGAAATATTAACCCATGATTTGGTGTTGGAGTTGGTTTAAAGAAGATTCTTATACTAAAGATGGATGGAGTTGGCCTGGAGAACATAGCTGGGGCTTGAGTTGGCTTAGAGAAGATTCTTATACTAGAGATGGATGGAGTTGGCTTGGAGATAGAGTTCACTCTGGTTGATTCTGTTCCATGCAAGTCAGTAGTTACGCTTACTTCACTGTACATAGGCATAGAGCTACTGACAGTGTTTCCAGCCACATTGGAAGAAGAGGAGGTCGAGGAAATACTGGTGACTGAAAAATGTTTGCATTGTAAGTTTTGGCCAAAAACACATTATAGCACATACCGTTCATGAGTCTGACATAAACTGTTTGATTATTCTTTGTGTGGTCCTGAATCACACACCTATATGTCCCCTCAAGTGGAGTACCAGCAGTTGATCTCTTCAGTCTCACCACATGAGGACCTCTGTTTCTCACAAACCCTAGGTCACCAGGCCCATGGTCACCACCCACTCTCTTCCCATTTGGAGCAAACCAGTCTCCTCCAGAAGTTTCACTGGGAGAATTAGGAGGGTTGTCGGTATGACAGACCAGAGCAGTATCATCAGTTGACCCAATATCATCCAGCATCACAGAACCATTGTTAGGAATTACTTTTTGTCTAAAAGTCAGATGTACACCTGAAAGTATAGGTCAGTGCACATGTTTATTTATATAACAAGGTAAAAGTTACTTTTTTCGACAGTCTTTATAAGAGTGGCACTACTGAACACTCCAGTACCAGCACTGTTGACTGCTGCAACTTGAATTGAGTAGTTAGTAGATAGGCTTGGGTTAGAGATGGTAGCCTCAGTTACACTGGCTCCAGCAATATTCAGTACGCTTATGTCTGTCATGTTGGGCCCCATCTCTCCATATCTCACTGAGTAGCCAGTAATAATATCTCCTTTTATATGTTCACAAGGCACCAAGAACTCCCAATTGATAGTGATGAAGTAGGAAGTCGCAAAAATCTTGGTCACATTTGGAGCTGCAGATGGAGCTGCAGAAATAAACACACACCTTTGGTAATAGCATTATGGAAACGTAATATTTTAGCATTAACCTTTCAATGTTGTCACAGCATATACAGTGTTACTCAGTCCCCCTGTAGTTACAGTAATGTTGTACCTACTGCCCTCCTCTAGTCCTGTTATGATGTAACTTGTATCATTGGTGGTAATAGAGCCATTGTTTGTTCGATTTTCAGCTAAAACACCCTATCTTTTGCCATTTAAACGTATAGTTTTAGTATCTATGGTGTTTGAAACATCCAAGTAAAGTTAAGAGAGTTGGGAGATTTTCCCATGAGAACTATTATTGGCTGGTCCGGCACTGGGAAGAAACACAAAAGAATCAATAACATATTTTTGTAAAGTTGCATGAGGCCTCACAATCACGGCATGCTGATCCATTCGATGGTTTGTTGTTAGCCACAGTACATGTGTAACTTCCTTCCATTCTCCCAGTCACATTCAGAGTATGGATATATTCTGCTGTGGTTGCATTGACTAATAGGCTCTCAGTTGTCCCTTGGGTGACAGTGGTGGAGTCTCTGGTCCAAGTGACTCTGGTAGCAGGTCCGCCAGTGGATACACAGGAGAGGCTAAACTGAGGACTGGAACTCACCAAAGTCCCACATCAGCATAACACCACCAGATATAGACACATCTCCTGTATAGATGAAAATAACTGTGTTTTAGTACACCTATAATTTTGGTTAACACAAACCTCCATTGGCATACAATCCAACATAAATCCTGCTTCGAGTCAATTGAGTGGTAGTGTTATCATGGAGCTCAACAGTTGCAATGTCACAACGATACATGCCAGATGGTGAAGTGGCACTCCTACGACGTAGATCAACTCTCCGATAGTCACGATGCTGGTAAATATCACCGGGGCCACCGCCAAATGGGAGTCGGCTTCCATTAGGGAAGTACCAGTCACCATGATGAATACCTTGCCAACCGCTGCAGCATGTTTTCAGGTCAGTGTGACACTGAACACTCTCATTTTCAGTTCTCCCTATTAGGCTAAAGTCCACATAAGAGTGGTTTGCCAGAGGCTTGCTCATGAAGGAGACATAAGGAAAGGTCAGCTGAGAGTGGACCCTCCACCAGCGACCAGAGGAGACTGAGGGAAATGACCACCATCAACATCATTACTGTCTCTTTGCCTCTTTGTTCGAATTTCTTTGTGGGTTTTGCTCACTCTTATGTAATGCTTAGCTGTTAGTAAACTAACAGATAAACGGTTTAGTTTGTAGCAAAAGTAACAAAAAGTTTACGCAAGGCAAAAATAAATTAAATATTAGCTGCAGCTCTGGACATCACATACCCCACACTGAGCTAACAGTCGACTAGCTATGCATCATTTGACTTGTGCGCATTGGAAGGTTGTTATCGATGGGTCTAACAAAACCCAGAGATTTGTTGTCAAATTTATAGGCCTGATTGTTTGTCGATTTCAAGCACAGCTAAGCCCATTTTTTGATTATGTTTTGGTCGCCCTTGGAACTCATTACTAATAATATTCCTGGGCCTCAAGACTTCTGTTCTGGTGCTAGTCAGTGGTAAATTGCTTGGGCTCTTTGGATACCAACAACCTCACCACCCTCAGAGCCTTGGGGATTGGGTAAAATTGTTCCACCCTTCTCTGGGTATCAGACGCCATCTCCGCTGTTCTCGCCTATAAATCATGTCGAGGACGAGGCTGACTTCTTCTCCCAAACCTTTGAAAGTCACATTTATCTCTCATCACTATCTCAGCCGAAAGGCTGAGTGGCAGAGGTTGGCGATAACTCATGCACATTATCAATTTTATGTGTGGCATGTCCTGCCATTTTATAAAATGGATTTTTGGAACTGATCTTACCAGTATAGAGTATATGGTATGCGGGCACTGCCCGCTCGATATATATTACAATTTCTCTTTTGGAAGGCGGACCAGAGCTTGCTTTGCCCTTTCCGCGGGTTGCCACAGTATTGTATATACCCCATTGGGGGAACGATCACACATCCAACGAAAACTGGGTGTTCGGATATGTAGCTAACATCTGACTGTGTAAATTCAACATGTTACAACAATAATAAATGTATCAGTCATCAGTTAGATCACCACCCTCTTGATAATCAGCCTTGAAGTGCGCCGCCGTGGCAAGTGCAAATATAGGTGCAGTGATGGGTGTCAAAGCCAGGCTCGGTGGAAGAGCTGCAAAGCTCAGTGCGACCAAAACTTCCGATTGAAACTGTGTTAATTTCGATTCTCCACCATATGACTTATTTTGTTTGAAAGCCTCACAGGAAGCTCCTATTACGTAAGGCAGGAAGAGAGCAGTAGCAGCACCCACACCAAAAGTAATCACAAGATCTGAAACATTGAGGTGGGGTTAAAGCTTTGGCTTTGTTTGTATGATTGTGTATGATGGTTGTCCAAGTGAAATTGTGCATGCGTATTTGTGTATAATAATGCTTCACTCATGAGCAATATTGCTTGTCCATGCTCGCTATGCTTTTAGTTAAAATTCAGCCACCTTATTTTACCTAACTAAGGAAAAAAAACATGAAGCAAAAGGCTACAGAAGCAGTTTGTGCTTAGCTACATTTTACTTGGAGAATAATCCAGGTCATAGCAATGCTTGTAAACACGGGTCACAGTAATCTATCCCCACAAATCATCACCATAAGGAAAAACAGGTTAAGTAATGAGATTGAAGCTGTTGACAAGTAACCACCACAAACATTACACACTCTGTGTTTGACCTTTAGCTCACTACATTGTGTTGTTTTATGTGATGATTACCTACACAGATTGTTTGTTTTAGATAAACATAGCAACAGTACACAAGGCAAAAAGTACATCACCTGACCACACACATTGAGATAGGTGTGGTGGAAGCTTTAGAACTGGGGGTTACCTACCTCTGATCGAACAACAACATGTGTGTCGCCACACTAATTTTTAACATCTTTTAACCTATTGCCGTGACGTTTCAGAACTATTTGGGGAACCCAAGTGCAAACATATTTCTTCAATCACAGCTAAGACACATACAACGGTCTTTCTTTTTGGTACATAACTCTAGCCAATAAGCTACATGAACAAAAGCACATGAGTGCAGTCACTGGTCTCAAGAAATGACTTCATACACAGAGTCTTCTTCTGCACCCATATAGGAGAATGTGGAAAAGAAGAAAAATGGAACTTCATTCATCTCCTATGGTTTATATACCAGCTGGAAGAAGAGGTGATTCTCTGCAAGGGAAATTCACCAGTTCGTATCCTTCTCCTTCCCCAGCTGCCTCATTGGTAGAGGTTGTAATATGGACCCCTCCTCTATCTCTCACTGTTCCATATGCCTCATTGGTTGAGGTTGGGATGCGGCTGACTGCAATTCCTCCTTTCCCCCTCACCTCCCCATATGCCTCATTGGTTGAAGTGTGGATACTTGTGCCTCGATCTTTACAACCTGTTAAAAGGTAATGAAAAAACCTTCAGAATTGTTCCTGTGTTTTGAACAATAATAGCTATATACCTTTTAGACACAACAGACCAATAACACTGAGAGATACTATAACAGTTGCTACAACAACTCCAATTGTTATAGCCACAGTAGACAACCAGCCATCATCAGTAGACCTGTTGGGTCAGGAGTTAATTAGTCGCACTTATAATTATTACGATTAACCCAAAATTAGGGGTTGAAGTATAAGAGTCTTCTTCTTCTTCAGGATCAGCTGGAGTAAGAGTTGGCTTGGAGGAGATTCTCATACTAGAGATGGATGGAGTTGGGGTTGACCCGGAGAACATTCCTCCACTAGAGATGGTTGAAGCTGGAGAGGTGTAGAAAGCAGTTGTGGATGGAGCTAAGTAACTGTAAGTTCTCTCAGTGATGGTAGGGTTAGCTGTGGTTGATGTTGTTCCATGACTCTGCCCTGAAAAGGCAGTAGATAATATATTGATTTCACTGTACATGAGGATAGAGCTGGTGGATATGACAGAGTTTCCAGCCGCATTGGAAGAAGAGAAGGTTGAGGAAGTGCTGGTCTCTGAATATTGTTGCATTGTAAGTTTTGGCTAAAAACATATTGTAGCACATACCGTTTAAAGCATAGAGTCCCACATAAACTCTTTGATTATTCCTTGTGTGGTCCTGAATCACACACCTGTATATCCCCTCAAGTGGAGTACCAGCAGTTGATCTCTTCAGCCTCACCACATGAGGACCTCTGTTTCTCACAAACCCCAGGTCACCAGGCCCATTGTCACCTCCCACTCTCTTCCCATTTGGAGCAAACCAGTCTCCTCCAGATGTTTCATTGCCGGGAGGAGGAGGGTAGTTGGTATAACAGAGTAGAGCAGTATCATCAGTGTGGCCAATGTCATCCAGTATCATATAGCTATTGTTGGCAATTATTTTTTGTCTAAAACTTAGATGTACACCTGAAAGTATACATCAGTTTATAAATATTTTAAATAAAGAGATAAAAACTGACTTTCTTCGATAGTCTTTATGAAAGTGGCATTACCGAATTACACCAGTACCAGCTCTGTTGACTGCTGCAACTTGAATTGAGTAGGTAGTTGACAGGTTCAGATTAGAGATGGTAGCCTCAGTTACACTGGCTGCAGTAATATTCAGCACAGTCATGTCTGTCATGTTGTTCCCCATCTCTCCATATCTCACTAAGTAGCCAGTAATATCTCCATTCATATGTTCACAGGGCACCATCTCCCAACGGATAGTGATGGAGTAAAAAGTGGCAAAAGTCAGTGTCACATTTGGATCAGCAGATGGAGCTGTAAAAAATAAACACACTTTTGACAATTATAGCATGATTGGAAACGTAATTCTCAACAACCTCTCAATGTTGTCACAGCAGATACAGTATTACTCAGTCCCCCTGCAGTTACAATAATGTTGTACCTACTGCCCTCCTCTAGTCCTGTTATACTGTAACTTGTATCATTGGTGGTAATAGAGCCACTGTTCTCTCGATTTGCAGCTAAACAGCCTGTCTTCTGCCATTTAAACGTGTAGGTAATAGCATCTGTGGTGTTTGATGTAAAGTTAAGAGAGTTGGGAGATTTTCCCACGAGAAATATTATTGGCTGGCCAGGAACTGGGAATAAACAAAAAAATAATCACCAACAGATCTTTGTAAAGTTGATTGCAGTCTCACATTCGCGGGATGCTGATCCAGTTGATGGTTTGTTGTTAGCCACAGTACATGTGTACCTTCCTTCCATTCTCCCAGTCAATTTCAGAGTATGGATGTACTCTGCCGTGGTTGCATTGACTAAAACAGTCTCAGTCCCGTGGGTGACAGTGGTGGAGTCTCTGGTCCAAGTGACAGTGGTAACAGGTCCACCATTGGAGATACAGCTGAGGGTAAACCCATCAATGTCTACTGTCAGTGTAACATTACCAAGTATAGACACATCTCCTGTACAAGAGATGAGCAAAAATCAACTTTAGCATGAACCTCTTTGCTATAACACAAACCTCCATTGGCATACAATCCAACATACACCCTGCTTCGAGTCAATTGAGTGGTTGTGTTATCATGGAGCTCAACAGTTGCAATGTCACAATGATACATGCCAGATGGTGAGGTTGCACTTTTACGATGTAGGTCAACTCTCCGATAGTCACGATGCTGGTGAATATCGTTGACTCCATCAAATTGCAGTCGGTGTCCATTAGGGAAGTACCAGTCACCACGATGGATACCTTGCACACTGCTGCAGCATGTTTTCAGGTCAGTGTGACACTGAACACTATTATCTCCAGAATACTCATATCCTATGTGGCTGAAGTTCAGATAGGAGTGGCTGGCCAGAGTCTCCCCCATGAAGGAGACATAAGGAGTCTGCTGAGGGTTGACCTCCACCAGGTACCAGAGGAGACAGAGAGAAAAGACCACCACCAACATCTTAACTTATTCTATGGTTGAGTTTGTGGCCTGTGCTCTTTTTATGAGCTATACCTGGTTGTTTGTTTTTATTACCAGACCAACACTGTGGTTATTGGCTAATGTTACACAAGGCAAAAGTAATCGCAAGATCTGAAACATTGAGGTGGGGTTAAAGCTTTGGCTTTGTTTGTATAATTGCGTATGATGGTTGTCCAAGTCAAATTGTGCATGCGTATTTGCACATTAGTGTATATGCTTCACTCAGCAGCGATATTGCTTGTGCATGCTCGCTATGCTTTTGGTTACAATTCAGTCACCTTATATAAGGAAAAAATCGACAAAAAGGAGTTGGTGCCTCTTCATTTACTTGGCGAGTAATCCGAGTTATAGCAACATTTGAACCAACAGTAATATAACAATAATTATCCCTATCAATGTGGAAAATGTATTGTATTGAAATGTAAGTAGCCAAATACTTTGTGTCATCTTTAATTTATTATAATTACGACTCTTAAAAATCAGTTAAGTAATGAGCTGTTGACCAGTAACCACCACAAACATCTACACATTGTGTGTTTGACCTTTAGCTCGCTATTATCGTGTTGTTTTATGTTATGATTACCTATTGGATAGCAAAAAGTACACAAGGCAAAGTAAATCACTTGACCACACACATTAAATTGAGAGAGATAGTGTGGTGGAAGCTTTGTAGGGTACCTACCTCTGAAGAAAAAGTACAACATGTGTGTAGCTACATTAATTTGTAGCTCACTACGTGATGTGGTTTTACGTGATGATTATTTACACAGATGTTTGCTGCTAAAGATTTAGACGAAACAGAGCAACAGTACACAAGGCAAAAGTAAATCACCTGACCACACACATTTACATGGAGGAGAGCATAAGTGTGGTGGAAGCTTTGTAGGTTACCTACCTCTGAAGAGAAAGATACAACATGTGTTGTTAGCTACATAAATTTTTAGCTCACTACGTCATGTTGTTTTATGTGATGATTACCTACACAGATTGTTTGTTTTAGATAAACAGAGCAACAGTACACAAGGCAAAAAGTACATCACCTGACCACACACATTGAGATAGGTGTGGTGGAAGCTTTAGAACTGGGGGTTACCTACCTCTGATCGAACAACAACATGTGTGTCGCTACACTAATTTTTAACATCTTTTAACATATTGCCGCGATGTTTGAGAAATATTTGGGGAAGCCAAGTGCAAACTTATTTCTTGAGTCACAGCTAAGACACATAGATACAACCATCTTTATTTTTGGTTTAATTATACGTTAACTTCGAACATAACATCCATATTATCGTGCGACGAAAGGCTGTGCATTAGCTTTGTCTATTTTATGCCTAGTCAATTGCACCTATAACCGTAGAATTTGGCCACTGTATATACTACAATGATTATTATTATCACAAACTCTAACAATAAGCTACGTGCACAAAAGCACATAAGTGCAGTCACTGGTCTCAAAAAATGACTTTATATACAGCGTCCTCCTCTGGACCTATATAGGAGAATGGATTATGGAGAAGAAGGGAAATGGAACTTCACACATCTCCTATAGTTTATATACCAGCTGGAAGAAAAGGTGATTCTCTGCAAGGGAAATTCACCAGTTCGTATCCTTCTCCTCCAGCTGCCTCATTGGTAGAGGTGTAATATGGACCCTCCCTCTCCTAGTGTTCCATATGCCTCATTGGTTGAAGTTGGGATGCTAGCCTGACTGCAATTCCATCTTTTCCCTCTCACCTCTACCCATATGCCTAATTGGTTGAAGTGTGGATAATTGTGCCTCGATCATTTACTACATGCTTAATAGCAAGGAAAGAACGCTCAGTAAGTAGTGTTCTGCGTTTTGACTTTTGGGTAACATTGAGACAAACGCAGAGACACAAATTACAGCTGAGAGATACATATAGATTAGCTACACAGGAGAGGGTGTACTGAGGACTGGAGCCATCAAAGTCAAGTCCACAGTCAGTGAAACACCACAAATATGGACAACATCTACGTATATGTATGATTGCATTGACTCTATATCACTCAACCGCATTTCGCTGTATTTGTGACGGGCTTACAGACAGCGCTCCTCTGGCATACAATCCAACAGACACCCTAGCTTCGATCATTGAGTGGTGTAGTATCATGAGACCTCAACAGTAGCAATGTCACACCGATACACCCAGCAGATGGTGAGGTCGTGTGACGAACGAGTTTTGCTACGTAGCGGTCAACTCTATGATCATCACGATGCGGATGGCGTATACATATCGTCGGGCAGGCCACGCGCTCAGACGAATGAGGAACGCGGGACGTGCGATGTAGACCTTGTCACACCGCTGACAGCCGTGTCAGCCGAGCAGTGGCGACACCGGGACGGAACTAATTTGGACGAAATACAGAACGGAAGAGTGGTTCTGCAAGAGGCCTCTCCTGAGGAGACATAAGGAAAACAGTCTGAGGGTGCTTTGTATGAATTGTGTGCTGACAAGCTGTCAACAGGGACGAAAGTGTGTGCATGCGTCGATTGCAACATTCGTGTGATATGCTCACTCAGCAGCGATCATGATGAATGTGCATGCTCGCTATGCTTGGTCAATTCAGTCCCCTAGTGCCCGTAAGAGCTACAGGACACCAGACCGCTCGACATTGAGTGAATTGCTGTGTGCTGTGCGTGCTCAGCTCCACTCTCCAGTTGCACTTTTATTCGAGTCACCTTGTACACAGTGTAAAAATTTTACATGAAGCTACAGTACCACCGTGAACAGACCCACAGTCGCGGCTCGGCCTGCCTACCTCTCCCTGAGTCTTGTTACTTGGCGATAATCGGCTAGGATAGCAACATTTTTAAATGCAGGGGCACAGTCGTAATTTATCCCTATATATACCAATCATCACCCATTATATGAGGAAGGAAAAGGACAGGAAATACATTACGATTTTAAAATGTACTACTTTGGTCATCTTTATGTTATAATACTATGATTATGGACTCTTAAATATCAGCTAAGAAATCGATATCGAAGCTGTAACACCACAAACATCATTAACACATTCTGGTGGACCTTGGCTGGCTATTAGTCGTGTTGTGGTATGTGATGATTACTATCGGATGCTTGTTTTAGAAAGAAGTATATACACAAGGTCACATGTTACAACAATAGTAAAGTGTATCAGTCATCAGTAAGATCACACCCTCGTTGATAATCAGCAAATCAACTTGAAGTGTGCCACACGTAGGCAAGTGAAAACTACGGTGCAGTGATGGGTTGTCAGAAGCAAGGCTCGGTGGAGAGCACTGCAAAGCTGCAGTGGCCGACCAAAACTTCCGATTGAAACTGTGGTAATTCGATTCTCCATCATATGTGAACTTGTTTTGTTTGAAGCCTCACATGGGACGCCCTATTGCGTAAGGCAGAAGAGAGCAGTAGCAGCACAGCACCAAAAGTAATCACAAGATCTGACTTGAGGTGGGTTTTAAAGCTGCTATGTTGTATATTATGTGTATGATGTTTGTCAAGTCGAATTGATGCATGCACATTCGTGGATATGCTTCACTCATGAGTGATATCGCGATTGTGCGTGCTCGCATACGCTTTTGGTGCTATTCAGTCACCTATGTAAGGAAAAGGACATGGAGCTAAAGTGACAAAAAGCAGTTCGTGCCTCTTTATTACTAGCGACGAATGAGTGAGGGGTGCGTGATAGCAAAAAACTAGAAATGAATGGCGACAGTAATCTTTCACTACCATTCATCACCATAATTATGAGGAAAATGTATTTACACATTTAAAATGTAATACTTTGTGTCATCATTTCAGCTCAGAAATGATATTGAAGCTGTTGACCAGTAACCTTAGCTCACTATGTTATCATGTTGTTTTATGTGATGATTACCTATTCGGATTGCTTGTTTTAGAAAAGTACACAAGGCAAAAGTAAACCACCTGGCCACACACATACAATGGAGAGAGATAGGTGTGGTGGAAGCTTTGGAATTGTAGGTTGCAGAAAAAGTACAACATGTGTATAACTACACTAATTTTAAACCTCTTGTGACGTTTCAGAAATATTTGGGGAAGCCAAGTGAATAATCATTTTCTTCAATCATAGCTAAGACACTTTGCTACAACTGTCTTTCTTTTTGGTACAGTAACTTCGAACACAGCATCCATATTATCTTGGGACGAAATGCTGTGCATGAGCTTTGTCTATTTATGCCACCCTTTTTCGTCTGGTCAATTGCACCTATAACCGTAGAATTTGGCCACTGTATACTGCAATGATTATTGTATAATAAATGGGCACTATCACAAACTCTAGCCATAAGCTACATGCACAAAAGAACATGAGTGCAGTCACTGGTCTCAAGAAATGACTTCATATACAGCTTCCTCCTCTGCACCTAGGAGAATGGATTGTGGAGAAGAAGAAAAATGGAACTTCATACATCTCCTATATTTTATATACCAGCTGGAAGAAGAGATAATTCTCTGCAAGGGAAATTCACCAGTTCGTATCCTTCTCCTTCCCCAGCTGCCTCATTGGTAGAGGTTGTAATATGGACCCCTCCTCTATCTCTCACTGTTCCATATGCCTCATTGGTTGAGGTTGGGATGCTGTTGACTGCAATTCCTCCTTTCCCCCTCACCTCCCCATATGCCTCATTGGTTGAAGTGTGGATACTTGTGCCTCGATCTTTACTACCTGTTTAATAGGTAACAAGTGGAAAAATCATTTCTTCAAAATGAAAGTGGGATATAGGGATGACTTGAAGCACCAAAAAGGAAGAAACAAGGGGTCATTACACACCAAATATGCACAAAGCCACATGACACCATCCCTATATCTTTGTCTCATATTAAACTTTGCTTATGAACAATAAAACAAAGATATAGGGATGGTGTCATGCGGCTTTGTGCATATTTGGTGTGTAATGACCCCTTGTTTCTTCCTTTTTGGTGCTTCAAGTCATCCCTATATCCCACTTTCATTTTGAAGAAATGTTTCCACTATTTTTAACACCTTATGACAACACTGCATTTTCAGTCGCTCTGATGTTCATGGCTATGTTGTAGAGATAACTGTTGAAAGCAGAAGCTAATGGACTGCTCTTACCTGAAGCAGGGTGTATATAATTATGCGTAGTGTCTCCAACAAGGACGCGATTAGGTTGTGGCACATATGGTGGTGGTTTCATTGGGCAGGCTTCAGAAATCAGACTACAATGATAGCTATAACCTGGGAACAAAGTATGAAGGCGCTGGGAAAGGCACGCGTAGCTAACACGGCGCAGATTGCCAAGTGCTCCTCGTGCAAAGTCAACAGCAAAATGCAAGCTAGCCACTTACAAATGTGTGCACTGACTTGCGGAAGGCATGGAGGATGGAGGAGAGAGTAGTTTTCTCTGCAGGCATCCAGTCCTGGCTAGTCTCGTTCGTGGACCATGGTTCTAGGTTTAGCGAGACAGAATGCGCGCGCGCGCATTGGAAAACGCGCCTCCTCTGCGCTCATGAATAGGCGGCTCACTATGATGCTGAGTTAGCAAACAAATGGCGGTGTTGTTCAGTGACTCCCGAGGAAGGGCTCAACGATCTACCGTACGGGACTTGCGCAAGGAAACAAACGATCGCTTGATGTGCGTGTACACCTCCGGAAATTCCGAGACGTTCTGTGAAAAAATCAACGCTCAAGTGCTTCCGGGTAAGGAGCTGAAGAAGAAGAAGAAGATAGATGAAGAATATGATGATGATGACACGAAAATCGTGAAATCGCGTATGAGCGAATTCTCGCGTGGACGACTGAAGGTGCGTATGGTGTCTTCGGGGACATATAGGTAGATATGGGCCTGTAGACTATTGCTAATATGTTTTGAAGGCCTAGGGAGTGATTCTCACCGAGTTTTTAGTCGTTTTATACGCGGATCACGTGAGATTTCACCCGTGTCGTCCCTATATAGAGAGTCTACCGACTCTCTGATGAAAGAATAATTAAAACCTTCAGAATTGTTCCTGTGTTTTAAACAATAATAACCTTTTAGACACAGCAGACCAATAACACTGAAAGATACTGTAAGAGTTGCTACAGTAACTCCAAGCCCGCTGCTGGAAGTAGGGAGGGTTGGAGCAGGATATGTGTAGAAAATATTTGGGGTTGGAGGTAAGTGACTAAAAGTAGATCTCTCAGTGAAGGTAGAGTTAGCTGTGGTCAATGTTGTTCTATGACTCTGCCCTGAAAAGACAGTAGATACATTCATTTGACTGTACTTAAGGATAGAGCTAGCAGCAATGACAGAGTTTCCAGCCACATTGGAAGAAGAGAAGGTTGAGGAGGTACTGGTGACTTAAAATTGTTGCATGATCATAAGTTTAAGTGAAACACATTGTATCACATACCGTTTAAAGCTTAGAGTGCCACATACACCGTTTGATTTTTCGTAGTAGAGCAGTATCATCAGTGTGACCAACGTCATCCAGTATCACATAGCTATTGTTGGCAATTACTTTTTGTCTAAAACTTAGATGTACACCTGAAAGTATACATCAGTTCATAAATATTTTATATAAAGAGATAAAAACTGACTTTCTTCGATAGTATTTATGAAAGTGGCATTACCGAACACACCAGTACCAGCACTGTTGACTGCTGCAACTTGAATTGAGTAGTTAGTAGACAGCGTCAGGTTAGAGATGGTAGCCTCAGTTACACTAGCTCCAGTAATATTCAGCACAGTCGTGTCTGTCATGTTGGTCCCCATCTCTCCATATCTCACTGAGTAGCCAGTAATAATATCTCCATTCATATGTTCACAGGGCACCATCTCCCAATGGATAGTGATGGAGTAGGAGGTGGCGAAAGTCAGTGTCACATTTGGAGCAGAGCCAAAGATGGAGCTGTAAAAAAACACTAGCATGATGGCATCATAATAATTATCTACAACCTTTCAAGTTGTCAGCAGATACAGGTTACTAGTCCCCCTGCAGTTACAGTAATGTTGTACCTACTGCCCTCCTCTAGTCTTGTTATGCTGTAACTTGTATCATTGGTGGTAATAAAGCCATTGTTCTCTCGATTTTCAGCTAAACAGCCTATCTTCCCCCATTGAAACTGTATAGGTACTATCATCGTGGTGTTGATACATTCCAAGTAAAGTTTAAGAGTGTTGGGAGATTTTTCCACGAGAAATTTATTGGCTGCCAGAACTGGGAAAGAACACAAAGAATCACAAAGAAATTTTAGTAAATTTTCATGCAGCCTCAACAATCACGAGATGCTGATCCGTTTGATGGTTTGTTGTTAGCCACAGTACATGTGACCTTCCTTCATTCTCCCAGTCACATTCAGTGTATGGATGTACCCTGCCGTGGTTGACATGACTACGTCTCAGTCCATGGGTGACAGGGGGAGTCTTGGTCAAGTGACAGTGGTAGCAGGTCCACCAGTGGAGATACCAGGAGAGGATAACTGAGGACTGGCTCCATCAAAGCCACATTCAGCATAACACAACCAAGAAGTAGACAAATTCTCCGTACAAGAGATGAGCAAAATCCGGTTTTGGCATAACTTCTTTGCTTATAACACAAATTCCATTGGCATATAATCAAAACATACACCCTGCTCGGGTTCAATGAGGGGTGGTGTTATCATGGATAATTCAACAGTTGGCAATTCACAATGATACATGGCCAGGATGGTTGAGGTGGCATTCCTACGACGAAGATTCAACTCTCCGATAGTCACGAGACTGGGGTGAATATCATTGGCTCCCCCATCAAATGGCAGTCTATTTAATTAGGGAAGTACAGTCACCTGTGCGTATTACCAGCTCATTGCCTGCAGCATGTTTCAGGTCAGTGTGACACTGAACACTCTCAATTTCACAGTCTCCTATTAGCTGAAAGTCCACATAAGAAGTGGTATGACAGAGGATTGACTCATGAAGGAGACATAAGGAAAGGCAGAATGAGAGGGACATACACCAGGGACCAGAGGAGGACTGAGGGAAATGCCCACCATCACACATTACTGTTTCTTGGATTTCTTGGTTCGAATTTCTTTGTGCTACGGCGTGGTCAAACTTTCCCTATTTTGCTGTCCTTACGTACCTCTATTTGGTCTCTTCACAGCCTTTCTTCTCCTTGCCTCCTCCTCTTTCCTCACTGTCGTCTTTTCTTGTCTTTCCGCTTCCTCTTCCTCTCGCCTTTAAACCCTCAGCCATGGTTTAATTTTCCCTTTACTTTCGTGTTGCACTTTTCCCTTTACCTTTTTTTGTTTCCCTCCCTGCCTTCTTTTATGTGTTTTCTTTCTATTCTCACTTGCTTCACTCGTATGTATGCCTTAAGTGTTAGTAAATAACAGATAAACGGTTTAAGTTTGTAGTCAAAAGAACAAAAGTTACGCAGGCAAAAATAAATTAAAGAATGAGCTGCGAGCTCTGGACATTACACATACCCCACGACCGTGAGCTAACGTCAATCGCATGTGCATCATGTACTTGTGCGCATTGGAAAGTGTTATCGATTTTTCAAGCACGCGTATATCCCATTTTTTGCTGATATGTTTTGGTGGTTGTTCCCTTGGAACTCCTAACTTATAATATTCCTGTCCTCAAGACTTCTGTTCTTCTAGTGCTAGTAGGCTGGGATTGCTTGGGCATTCTGGGTGATACCAACATCTCTCCATCCGACGGGAGCCTTGGAGATTAGGTAAATCAACACCTTCTCTGGGTATCAGACGCCACTCTCCCCCTTCTTCGTTGGCATTAGGATCCTGTCGAGGACGAGCTGACTGACTTCTTCTCCCAAACCTTTGAAAGTCACATTGTCTCTCATGCCTTTGTGTATCATTTCTACTATCCCAGCCGCAAGGCTGAGAGGGGCAGTGGTTGGCGGCATGTCCTGCCATTTTGAAAATGGATTTATGGAACTGTTCTTAGAAGTGTAGAGTATCTGGTACATGGGCACTGCTCTGCTCAATTTTACATCAATTTTTTCTTTCGGAAGATGGACTGAAGCTTGTTTCACCCCTTCCATTGGTTGCCCCATTATTGTATCCCCTTGGGGGGGAAATCAAACATCCAACGATTATACATCCATATGTGTGTTATGGGTCGGGTAGTTTCGATAGCGCACCAGGTTCCGCAGCGCATTATATTCTTTTGATGTAGTTCACGCCGGTTAACAGTATAAATCATCCAATAGTCGCTTGTGTTGTGTGTGACATGACTATAATGTAACAAAACCCTCACCTGGCTATTATTAACATTCTACTGGTTTGCAGCCACACGGGACTTGATGCGCTATAATTAACCCTCGGCGCGCATGCGCAGCGAGGGTTACAGTAGTCAGTCTGTCTGTCTGCGCGAGTTCTAGCACTACAGGCTACGAGGCGGCCAATGAGTGGCACCAACGGGTTGTGAACGACGAGGAGATGGATATAAATGTGGCGATTTTCCTGAAACGACTGCGTTCGATAGCGACAAGCTGGTACGGTCGCTGACCGCGTTGCGTGGCCCAACCCATCAATAAGCTGTGCGCATGCGTATATTGGACGAACGCGGTATGCTGGCTCACATCGACCTGATCCGCTTGCTCTGTTTACCTTGGAGGCACAAGAAGCCACAGCGAAGGGCGTTTGTCGACTCCAGCTTGCTATCTACTACCGTAGCTAACCCGTGTCAGACTCTCCGCGAGCTACTATATGGCGGGAGACCGCGGGT